AATAATGGATAAATTTAGTTTGACCATAATATTACCGTAGTATGACAAAGTATGACAATGCAAGCCAAAAGATCAATTGCAGTCTTTACATGAGGCAACTGTATCTACAATCTTCAATACATTGCATCGTTGGCAGCCGGATATCAAAGGCTCAGAACGAGATTTCCATTTGGAAGGGCTAAACGGAAATTGGACATGCGTGAATACACGTGGCCTGCCAGCTAAAAGCTCTCCTTAAGCCCAATGTGAAAATATCGATGCGGAATACATCGAATGGTCGAGTAAAGCCTGACCGAGAATGCATTCGCTCTACTAGGTGCATGACGTAGCGTGAAGGCACGAGATAAGAAGCATATTCCGATATATATTGCGAAGCACTTTATACTGTGCATTGTGAGAGCTTATTTTCTTAACACTTGCTTGAGATTGAAAATATTTGTATATTCTTTAGCAAAATTGACCGAACCATTATTTTAAAAGCAACGTGAATATTCTTCAAACAAATCCTTTTATTTTAACACCTAGTACATTTCCAAAGGCATTAAAGAATCAATGCCAAGAATTATTTTTTGAAATATTTCCAGAAAGATATAAAGAATTAAAAATAATTTGCATTTTTATGCTAAGAATTATCTTTTTTTGAAATGTCAGAGTTATCTACTTAGACGTGTATAGACTTGTAGATATTTCTAAAATGCATCATTAAAACTATTAACGAAACTGGCATTAAGCTATATAAGGAAATATTAAGTTAGTTATTCATATTTTACGAGCAATTACAACAAAAATAACTTTATTATCAGCGTCATCGTGACATAATGGAGAACATGAGAATTTTTGCCGTATAAAAATGAAGAATGCAAATCGCATCGAATACCCACTGACAAATTGCATTAAGTCTCTCCGAGAAAGCTCATTAAATTCTACGTAATCTGATTCTCGACACGTCAGTCGGCAACTGAGCTTTACGCCCGCGAATTAACGCAGTCGGATTGCATTTCAGTGACGAGATCGATCTTTCATTTTCATAACGTTCATGCCTGTGCACCGTGGAGAGAACTAGCGTTTTTCATTGGAAGAACTAATGTGCATTCAATGCACATTAAAGTTGTACACTAATCTGATCTGAATGTAAAAACGAAATATCTCAATTGATAAAATACTTAATGTATATTTTATCCAATAGCACAATAAAATATATTGAGAATTTCGTGGTTTAACTTGGTACTGTATTTTTATTAAACATACATCTTTACGTCAATTTGTGTACAAGCTTTAAAGTGCACTGAGTGCGCACCAGTTCTGCCAATGAAAAACACTATAAATTGCCACACACGCGTAATTTTTAACCAATAATAATTCTGAATATTAATATGGGTTAATATTAGCACAATAATGGCACAGTCAGTCAGACATATTCTGGAAACAAGTACGATAAGGATGTGGGTATATAATACTTAACGTAGTAATATGCTAGCAGATGAAATGATATGCAAAATAGAAGTTGGCCTCTTTCTCATATATAACATTAAAATTTAATTATTCTTATGTTCTCGAGATACGTGGGAAATACGATTGTATTTTACATATTTTATATTATATTATATTTCATATTGGCTGCGCAAAAGTTTTAATTTTGCAATAGCCGTGTCTTACAGATTCAAAATAAAAAGTAAAAACTTATTATTTTAACGTATTTCGAATAAAGATTGAAATAATGAAGACTATGTAACTTAAATTATATATTTACTGAATGAAAGAGAAGCAGAACAAATTCTTAAGTAGATTATCTGTGTGACAAATTGATACTCAATTTTTTATTAGATTTTGTATGATAAAATGATGTATGTGTTACATATATGTATATATAGAATGAATTTTATATGCACTACATATATATACATATAAAATAAATTTTTCGCATAAACGAAATCTTGGGAACAGATAGAATTTTTGTCCGAAAGTGCATTGTAGAATCAATCCTCAGCATCGAACTTTTTTCTATCACCGAGATAAAAACCGAAGCAGAGAGCTGACGAATTTTTTCCGATTGCTCGCTTAAACAGGGTATACCACTACAGGTTCAAATGGAAGGAGATAACCACAAAAATATCCTCGTTCCAGCATAGTTCTTCATCGACAATGATTCCAACTTTTTCGTCGGTTGTTGCGGCTTACTCGACATCACAATCGTGGTCATAATAATAATAATCGTTGTGTGGATTATTTCTATCATTTACGATCCCGAGCAGAAATATCAGTACTTATAAAGCATGAATGAATTTTTTTCTTGGAGAACAATAAGTAACTTTTTTTACAGCCTTTTACTTTTGTACTATACTTTCTTGTATTATACCGGAAATTTTTATATTAAAGATCTTATTACACTATAGTGCAAACTATTTTCTTAGCCAACCGTGAGATTACGGATATTTTTCGTAAAAAGATTCATTTGGCAGCGGCGAAATGAAATATGAGAGTAATTAGTGAAACTCTTTCTGTATGGCGGAAATGCAAGCAATTAGAATTGGATAAGCGGAAATAAAAAACTTCCGATGTACGTTCGTAAAAGCACGGATGCTACGCGAATTAATCAGTGAGAACGCCTTTTACAAACAAAAATATATAACATCGATGCGTTACAAAGTTTATTTATTCAATTTAACATTTTACCAAAGAACACTTAGTAGTAACTATAATCGGGTTTCTATATTGTTTACTCTTTGCTTCACTATTGTTTACCACTACTTCTCTCCATCTGGACTGCTTTTCTACTGTTCTATTTGCGTAACCATATAACCATGTACGAAATGAGGAAGCTCGCTCAGAATTAATTTTATTATAATTTTTTAAATTATGAATTATTTTATATATGATTTAATATATAAGTTTCTAGAAGTGTTACATAATAAGGTAATTTTTATAAAAATTTATTATGTCTTAGAGACTTTAAGGTGATATAAAGTTTTCGATGAAAAAAAAACTTTCTTGATATTAGCCCAATTCCCAGTTTAGTAAAAGATCCTTGAAAGATTCCTTGAAAGATCACTCAGTTCCTGATACTCAGCAGCAATGTAAATCACACTATACAAACTTCTTATTTTCTTAAATAATGAATTTTTAGGATTACAACGATGAACTACATTCGTGGCAAAAGTTTATTGTGTAACTACTGCAGATATTATATTATAACTAAGCAAATATGCCTCAAACAACAAAGGATCACGTTAATAAAGTCAAATAAAAAGGATTTGTAAAATTCTTGCAAACAAGTTTAAAGAAAAAGATAATTTTTTAGAAAAGTCAGAGATAACGTATATTTAAATAACGTATTTGAAGTTTTTAGCAAAATTATTAGTTTAAATTTTCATTCAACAGAATATAGCATTAAGTGTTGATTTTTAATTTTAATTTAATTCTTTATGTAATATAAAAATTAATGTTATACGTAAAATTTCTATTTTTTCATAGATCATCAAAGTATATAATGGTAAATTCATTAGGTATATTCAACTCGCGTGAATAAATAACGCTCTCGTTAAGAAGATATTCTTTTAATTTGAAAGCAAACAATCGGCAAGCATCATGCTATTGAATAAACCTTACTCCGTCAGGTGTTCGTCCGTGTATAACTTAATAGCATTAATTCGAAAGTTATCCTTTACGCAACAAGTTGACTGTAGCAATCCCGAATTAGGAGATAAGAAACGTGATCATGTTTTGGTACTTTTAAATAAATATCTTTTCGTTGAATCCGGGTTACTGTTTTGACTTTTCCTAAATGAAGTTGCAAGTGATATATACCATCCGGTAAATACATCGCTGAGAAACTCGCATGTTCTGTGTAGTAAAGTTTAGACACGATGCTATACACAATATGTACAACGCGACGCTACGGGGTGCGATATCATTTCGCGGCTTTTCGCAGTGAAACTTCATGAGCTCGTTAATTCTTCCGCCATGATATAACTAATTACGAAACTAATACCATGCGGAAGGGCCAGAACGGCACACCTGAATGCCTAATTAGAAAAGTTTAGACTAGTTCGACCGTGACTAAAACTGGCTAACTTAATATAAAGAAGATTCAAGCATAGCTGGCAAGACTTAAGTCGTTGCTACTTGATTGCTGATAATTAAGCTTGTGCGTTACGCTACAACCTTTAGATTAGCATTATTGATTAATTTGAACTACTTTGAAACAAAGGATTAATAGAGCGTAAATCAGATCAAAGGATTGAAATTGTGCAAAGAAATATAAAGAGAGCTAATGCTAATAAAAAAATTTGTGTAGTTAATTACCCAATTGATACACATAAATATAATATTACCGATACACAGTAAAAAAGAAAATGTTAATTTTAACATTTTTTACGTGTCCCAGGAGATCCACTCTAAATTTTAAGTTAAAGTAACTCATTCGTCTTGTGTTATTTATTAACGAACTAGTAACGTTAAATAATTGACACAATACTTTATATTTATATTTTGACTTTAAGGGTGATTTAAAACTAACATATAAAATAAGTAGAGTACATAGAAGAGCAGTTGCAGTAACTCGTAAGAAAATGTTAATAAAACATTTTTGTTCGTATAATGTGAATGAAAAAATTCTTAGATGTTAAATTGACTTTGAGATATATAGATTAATTGAAACAATTGTGTTAAAAACACTCAAAATAATATTCCATTTTTAATTGACATACGGAATTGTTAAGTTAGAAAGATGACATGAATCTAACACATCAAAATGTTATAAAAATAATAACATATCAGTTGTATGTTTATTTTACATTGAAGTAATAATCAAAATGTGGTAACACAAGAAAAATTCTACATATGGACGCACGATTTTTTACTGTGTATTATGCCTCAATTATTAATGTACATAAATTGAACATGTGTTCCGTGAGAAATGCTTTATTATTTTTTATTTATACATATATAAGTCGTAATAAATTATTTTTTCTTTTATTTTATTATTAAAGATGCATTATTAAACATTATTATTCTTTACGTTCCATCTCCTTTGCGTATCTATCATGCGTTGTAAATTTATTCAGTGCGTTACAAAAGCGTTTATGTATTACATCAGGATGACACACTCATTTAAAGTTAACTACGATGCTTGAATTAACGTCAGCTACGAAAATTGAGGATATAGGACGATATATTACGTCACTTAATAATTAGTGCCTCTTGTCATTGTGTTTCGTGGGATGAGAATAGCTTTGCAGTTTGCCTTGCTAGAATTTTGGGAGAGTGTACGTTTGTAACTATCGGCCATATTTAGATCTGCAGTGGTAAAAACTCCGTTTGTCCCGACGGTCGGGCCATTCGTAGTCGTTATGTGCAATGTAATTATGCGTGGTATAATAACTCACAATTAGTTCACACGTTGGAATCACGGAAATCCTCGGTACATATATCGCTTTAATGCATTGCGCTATCTTGGTGCACTGTAGGAAACGTAATATATGTTTGATTTGTTGTTTATCTGTCATAGTAGCCCCTGTTTAGCGATGTACTAGAAAAAGAAATATGCATTAAACAGTATAAGAATTGTAGTTGAAGTTAATCTTGTTCTATTTCATTTTAAGCGGTTTTTTATTTACGTTTAAAATATTTTTTTATCCGTGTCACATTTATTTCATTTAATCCCTAAAGAATATTTTCTTCAAAGTATTTTTTTTTTAACGCGAAGATTTAAAGCAAATGTATTATATTATAAAGCATTATTTGACACGTCTCATCGCGTCGTTGGAAATATATCGATTAAATGTGTCATGGAGTAATTTTGCACACAACAGCTGCAGATAAATTCACGTTTAACATGTATTTTGTCTTCACCGGAAAATTAATTGTCCATGACTAAATAAAATCCAATAGAACGTCATCACGAGAACTGAAATCAAGGGACAGATTCGTGTTACACGATTCGAAATTAAGTTTTCTAATTTCCGGGAGATAACGTGAGAATTTCCGTTGAACCATTTATTACATCAGCGAACAGTAAACAGTTTCAAGTTTACACGAGAAATGTACCCCGATACACAGTTTAAGCAGCAGTAAACCCGTAATCGATGCGTAGTCTCCTACTATGAAAGTGGTTTTAACTTCCTTCGGCACTCAGTTCGTGCTATCGTGGACAGGTTGCGAGATTTAGCAAGAAATTTCGTGACTTCGTAATACCGCAGAGTGTTTTGCCATTGCGGTGTGCTATGCCTTGTTTTTACTTGTTAACTGATCGTTGATGCACACGAGGTCGTGGAGTCTGTCTTCATGTTTAATGAGACTACATTCGCGTGTTAATTGCTTGTAGTTGACTGTTCCTGCAGATATTTACGTGACCTGCAAGACAATTCGCGTTTACACAAGATATTCTTGTAAATTGTCGTTGCCGACAATTTATGTAAATTGCTCGAGTAATTCAAATAATTTGGTTGAAATAACTGTATTGTTGTATTATTCGATTAGGATTACTTTGCGGAGGGGAGTATATGGAAATTAAAACATAGCATAAATATTAGATAATATAATAACTATAGTATCAAATATCTTATTAATTGATATAATAAAATTGATAAAAAAAAAATAATTTTTTAAAATCATTAAATATGCACTGTGTAATAAGATTTAGTTATGTTTAATATAATTATATTTGAATATTTATATAAAAAGGTTCTAACTCTTCTATTTATGTTAACATATGTATATGAAATGTCAAGAGAATACATAAGTAACTACTCGCTCGTTTGTAAATAAAGAAGCTCTGGGTCTTAGGAGAATAAATTAAATATTCATAAATGTAAACAAATTTGTATCAAAAATACGGCGCTAACATCACTGAAGCTAAAATCAGGTTTCTACTTTTTTGCACTTAACCAATACGATTATGGCTTTAATAGTAAATGAGCGTTAATGTGGATGTACTTGAATTTTTAATTGATTATTCCCACCGCATTTCACAAATAATAAAATTATTCATGTTATCGAAGAGTTCGAAAGTTATATCAAACTTACGGAAAGCAGTAGCATAAAGTTGGTACGTGCACAAAGTCGCTTTTAAAATCGAACATATTTTTCCTATGGGACTTTTCGGAAAGTATCATTTAAGGACGCTTAAAAAAAAAATCTGTTCATAACTTCTCACAAATCTTCTCAAAATAAAAGAATTATGCGTATGTGAATTACTAATTCTTAACGCGCCGCTAATTTAAATTCGTGATTTTTTAAGAAATGGAATGAAATAATGAACAAAATTTTTCAGGCGGATTTAAAAAAATAATATTGGCATAAAATATTTAAATTGTTATTTTATTTTATTATGTTGTTAATACATCAACAAATGCATTATAAAGAAATTTAATGAAGTTGTAATTCATAACTAGTTGAAAAGAGAATTCACAAAAGAATGCAGTTTCTAACATCTTTAAGAAATGTTTGGAACTGAATGAAAAATTGTCGAGATTGTCTAGTTAAGAACCACCCAAGTAAAAGTTTTAAGTGTGACAAAAACTTTTATCGTAGAAGTGATGGAGTTACAATCGCTCAATTGCCTTGTAAAAGTATTAATATTGACTCTTTTACTTTTATTCTATATATTTATAGCTATTTTAAATTATTTTATCTTTTATTGAAGGAAAATCATCTTATTTTGGAACCATTTATCTCGTAAAATTTTATATATATCCAATTTATATATTGTTGAAATCGTATCAGAGCTATGTCATTATAATAATCCAAAATTATACAATGAAAGAGTAAAAAAAAAGTAATCAAACTTAAATTAATATATATCTACTATCAGAATAGTATAGTTAATTCTGTTAACAAAAATAACTTTACGCCATTGCGAAATTGTCCCAATATATTTCTAAACCCGACACGAAAATTGCTTGTAACTTAATTCCAAAAAGTACGTGTTTCGAAACTTTTGAACTTGATAAAAAAAAAAAGAGAAAAAAATACTCGCGCACGACACAAGAAATCTGTATGGTGCGAAATTGTAAATCGGAAAAATCCTTATGGCTGTCACTAGGCTATTTCGAGCGCTAATTTAGGAAATTGCGGATTGGATGAGAAAAAGGCGATAAAAGTCGTGCGCTTTCTATCTATTTGAATACCGTTACCGACCAATTTCCTCTCTTGTTCACTCTCTTTGTTCGAGCTGGCTATTAACACCGTAGAATGAAAATCAAATTCTGGTGCAAACATTGAGCGAAACTCGATTTTCTCGGCTCAGTTTGCAATCGAGACGTTGAATTTACAAGCCATGGCTGTCGGGGTTTGCGCTTCAAATAAATCTGCGTTTCGAGAGATCGTCCAGACCTCTCTCGATTATCGAAAAGCGTCAGGATGGACGCGCAAAAGGACTAGCATGTTCAGTAAATCTTTCACTCTAAAATAGAATCCCTATCACGTAAATATCGTCGACGTAATGCAATTTTGTTTACGCGAAATGTATACGAAACAAGCCGATCGCATGGTTTCATTGCGCGTAAACGCAATCATACTATAAACGGATTTTATGAGAGCAACCTTGCCTTGTGAGAATAGCGCTTCAAAGATTGCTCGATGAAAGTTGTTCTGTAGCAAGACACAGTAATAAAACATGATTCTTTTTCGTGTATAATTGAAACAATATTTTTAATCGATATAAAATTTTTTTTTATTTCTATTAATATCTACATACTATTTTCCAAAAATTTGAGATTTTTAGAGAAGAGCTCAATCATCCATTAATTACCAGAGTGTCATCCTCGATCATATTATAGAGTAGGTATGCCACGTGTCGAATATTCTCTTATTCCCTTTTTATTCTTTGTAATCGCTTGTTTGCTTTCCTCACGTCGGACTGGCGCCTTTTCCTCTTCGGAAATCCACTGTGAAAACCCGACGCCGATGGAGCTCACGTCGTTTCCTTTTTCTGGTTCTCTTGTAAAGACTACCTAGCCGCGCTTTTGCGTCGACGTTGACGTCCGTACGGGGAGCTATATCCGCGTAGATCGTTTCCGCTCTCCAGTTCGTGTCGCGTTACTTGATACCATCTGTCCCTCCACACCGTTCATCGTGGAGGATATCCATTCCTGATGAAAAGAGGGCACTGTTATTTGTCACGTCGTACGAAAGGATTGAACCTAAACGTGGCTAACGTGCAAGTGTGGTATGCCGCAGTAAATCTCACAAGCAGGGCTCAACCTAAGAATTCGTCCAATACGAGGTAAGGATCCTACTTCCGGTCGAGAAGCTTCAAAGAGTTATAAAAGACGGAAACACACAATTTTAGTGATCATACTCGTATATCTTCTCCAGACGATATCGGCTATAAATCTTACTGGACGTATTACTGCAACAGAAAAGTAGAAATTCAATAGAACTCTTTTCTTATCTTAATTTAATTTTCTTTTCTTATCTTTAATTTGAATGGAGAAAATATATGTAAAATGTTATCTTTTTTTCTCGTCGGACAAGGAATTATCTTTTCGTTATCTACGAAATTAACACAAACTATAGAAATCAAAGCTTTCTCGTTAGCTAAGAAATTAACCCTTACCGTACCAATATGGGTAACTAGTGGCCGAGCGATTCCTGTTCGTGCAAGTTTCTTTGAGTCTTTTGGTAATTATAAATTATGTACTACATTTTATTTATTTTCCAAAATAAAGAGTCAATATTTATTCTAGAAAATTGAAAGTATATTGGTGAATTTTTAGAGATTTTTTAAATTATATATATTTTGAAGAGGTGAAAAAAACGAAGAGATTCTAGTGACCCTTGATGGTGTGGATAAGGCATCAAATTGTACATGGTACGGTAAGGGTTAAATATTAGGTGTTAAACTTAATTCCTGCCGTTTTTCGTCTCCAAAATTGATTTGTTTCGAAGGGAAGATGAATGAATAATCAAAGTAATTTCCTCCATTTTATACTTTATTACTAATTAATAATACTTTATTAATAATAAAGTATTTTTTTTTTATTAAGGTATTTCCCTTCGAAACAAATTAATTTTGGAGACGAAAAACGGCAGGGATTAAGTTTAACACTTAATAGATGCTATGTGTAATTTTAGTATAAACAAAAAAAAATGTATATGTATATATTATAGGTATACGATATTCTTTTTACTTTAATATATAATATGATTTCGCAAAAAATTGCCATTTCTCAATATCAATCAGGTTTGGACTATGAACAGCTCGAAATCCGGTTTGGCCGTTATGGGTCACAGAAACCATTTGTCCATTTAACTTGCGGATCACTGGCCGTGCCGGGTCTCGTTTTCTGGCCGAGAAATTTTAATTAAACGATCTGCTATGTGCGCTTGCCAAGTAAACAGTCTCGAAAAAATTTTTCAATTTAGAAACTTGTTCAAGGACTTAATTCTCAGTTTCATAGTTGCAGCAATCAAACGCAAATAGAAGTTCTCTGTTTTATGTTATCACACAGGCTTTCGTACGTTAATTGTCTATCACAGATGTGAGCAAAGCTTAACCAATTCAGGAAAATTGGCTCTCGGAGAGTATTCGTACCTTGTAAGCACAGCTTCCCAGATTTACTCTGGGTAATTCTATTCCAGTTAATCGAATTATTCTAATTATTCCTTTTTTCCTTTTTTATGTCATAAAATTTACATTAATATTTATGAG